TGGAGGTCTTACAGAGCGTCGTGAGCCTGAGTCTCGTCCTGCGTCGCCAGAGTCTCGTCGTGCGTCACCTGTTTGTGCTGCTCACACTGGTCGTCGTGTTCCGCGTCAGCGTCCTCCTGCTGTCCCAGGCACTCACCAGATGGCACTTCGTCCTTCCACTGCTCCTCAGCGTGTCCCTCTGCCGTCTCCTCCTGCGTCTTCTCTTCCTGCTCTTGCTGACCCGGAGTCTGACTCCCTTCGTGCTGCCAGTCCTACTGTCACGCGTCTCCTCGCCACAGTTGTCACTGACCCTTCCTTTGAGTCCTCTGCTGCGTCTGCTCTAGTCGCTGAGTTAGTTGACTTTGCTGCCACTTGTCGTCTAGACTACGCCGCTAGCCTTGTCGCTGAGTCTGAGTCTGTCTGTCCTTCGTCCGTCGGGGGTGAGTGTGCTCTTGGCACGGACGTCCTTGAGGACAGGCAGGAGGAGTTTGAGTGCTTTGCCGCTGCGTTACCTCATCTCGTGTCCATGCTGGTTGCCCCTGAGGGAGACCCGGATGCTCCAGACATCCCGACCCCGCGCTCTTACGCTGAGGCGATCGCGGGTGAGTACTCCTCTCAGTGGCAGACAGCCATGGACGCAGAGATGGCTTCTTGGAAGTCCACAGGCACCTACGTCGACGAGGTTCCCCCACCTGGGGCGAACATCGTCAGTGGCATGTGGATTTTCAGGGTGAAGCGGCCGCCGGGTTCTCCGCCTGTCTTCAAGGCGCGTTACGTTGCACGAGGCTTCAGTCAGCGAGAGGGAGTTGACTTCTTCCAGACCTTCTCCCCGACCCCGAAGATGACCACTCTTCGGGTTCTGCTGCACGTCGCCGCTCAGCGTGACTACGAGCTCCACTCTCTTGACTTCAGCACAGCTTTCTTGCAGGGCAGCCTGCACGAGGAGATCTGGCTGCGCCGCCCACCTGGCTTCACTGGGTCGTTCCCTCCTGGTACCCAGTGGAGCCTCCGACGGCCAGTCTACGGTCTCCGCCAGGCGCCGCGTGAGTGGCACGACACACTGAGGACTACACTTGCGGCTCTTGGGTTCGCTCCTTCTACTGCTGACCCATCGCTGTTTCTACGCACCGACACTTCACTGCCGCCGTTCTACATCGTCGTGTACGTCGACGACTTGGTCTTTGCCACTGCTGACACTACGGCACTCGCCCACGTTAAGTCGGAGCTGCAGAAGAGACACACGTGCACAGACCTGGGTGAACTGACAAGCTATCTTGGCTTGCGGATCACCCGGGACAGAGCACGGCGCACCATCACCTTGACTCAGTCACACATGGTGCAGCAGGTCCTTCAGCGCTTCCGCTTCACGTACTCCTCGCCTCAGGCCACTCCTCTGCCTACCGGTCACTCGCTCTCAGCTCTGCCTTCGGATGAGTCCGTAGAGCCGAGTGGCCCGTATCCAAAGCTTGTGGGCTGCCTCATGTACCTGATGACCTGCACTCGACCTGACCTTGCATACCCTCTTAGCATCCTTGCACGCTATGTCGCTCCTGGTCGTCACCGGAAGGAGCACATGGATGCCGCTAAGAGGGTGTTGCGTTACTTGTGCAGTACGTCGGGCATGGGGCTAGTGCTTGGAGGACGAGACCGAGTTGTACTCACTGGGCACTCAGACGCTTCTTGGGCTGACGACCAGGCTACTCAGCGGTCGTCTCAGGGTTACACCTTCAGCCTTGGCTCTGGTTTTGTTTCTTGGCGTTCTACACGCTCGTCTTCCGTTCTCAGCTCCAGTTGTGAGGCTGAGATCTACGCCACAGCCATGGCTGCACAGGAGTTACGCTGGCTCACCTACCTGCTGACCGACTTGGGAGAGCGGCCTCGTTCTCCTCCAGTGCTGTACGTCGACAACAAGGCTACCATTGCCTTGTGTGAGGAGCACAGACTGGAGCACAGAACGAAGCATATCGCTCTACGGTACTTCCTTGCTCGAGAGCTGCAGCAGCGTGGTCAGCTTCGTCTGCGTTACGTGGCCACTCGGGCCAACACTGCTGATGTGTTCACCAAGGCGCTTCAGCCTTGTGACCATCAGCGCTTCTGTACTGTTCTAGGCCTTGTGCCTACTGTGCCTCACTTGCTTACTTCTTGACTCTGTTTGTACTGTGATCTCTATATATATACCTGCATACTTACACTTGCTAGGTTGTGCTCACTGTACCCCTTGCTATATTATTAAACTGCATGTGAACTGGTCTTGTGACCACTTGCTTGTGCTCGGAATTTGTGTGGTTTCCTCGAGATCCACCCTGAGCTTGCTTTGCCCTTCCTGACTGGTCTTGTGACCACTACTTGCTCTGGCTATCCCCCATTTCGCCTATGGGGGTGTGTCAAAACATATGCATAATTGTATCTAGTCTATATTGGGGCTAGCCTTAGGGGGTACACAAATAGTCTCGACACTCTAGTCTTGTACCCCAATCTTCACCTAATCATCATTTCTCGTTCCCTAGCTAGTGATTCTAACAGTGTTATGAGTTGTAAAAGGAAGAGTGCGCATAAGTCAATATCTAAAATGCGATTACAACTATTACTTATCATAAAGTGAAGTTATAGGCAAAATATAACGAGGGACCTAGGTAGGCGGGAGCCTCGGAAGTCAAGGTCGCATTCTGGTCTGGGAACGCCGAGTTCGAAGGCAACGCGAGTCCGCTTCAAGAGGCGAGGTCATCGAACCGAGCCTGGTCTTTCGAAAAGTTGGAGTACGCGTCGTAGTGTAAACTCAGAAAGGAATAGAAAGGTATTTTTTTCTACTTTATGAGTATTACAAAGACATGTGACACTTATCAAGTAGTGAGTTATTTGTTTGTTTGTTTGTTTTTTGTTTTGTATTAATTTGCAAATTGAAACCTCCCATTTTTTTCAGTATTTGTTATTGTTTAGAACAATGGCATGGAAGCTCTTTGAAGATGTGGGGGGGTGGTTTGAGAAATATATTCCAAGAGATTCCTCCGGTGTGAAAATAAACGGGGAGGCGGTTTACGACTTAAAGCCTGGGTAACACCAATGGGGTTTCTCCCCCTACATTTACCTCCAGTGTGAGACCAGTTGCAATGCGACCTATTTGTATTACCAGATTTGTTTTTCAACTCTCACAAACACACTTGTTTGCATATGCATTTTTCTATATTGTACATCTATATCTTGGATGAATCTAGTATCGCTGAGCTGTGAAACGGAGAGCCTACCAGTGCTCGCTCATTCTGAGAGCTGGACTGCTGGAGTTTCCTAGGGCTCACTTAGCTTCCATTCCCAAACCCAGCCTGTTCTCCTCTGCTGTTTCTGCTACTGCAGGTTTTTGACAATCATGAGCTCCAAATAGTGGTAGGATGAGGTCACAACACTAAGTTTCGTCTGCGGAAACACTTTCCGCACGTTTACTCCTCCCTAATTTCATATCGCGGCTCTCAATGGCGTCGTCGAATCTCGAAGCCGAACTGTGCTCACCCTGCGACGACTCACCGTCACGGTACTCGTTGAAGCGACTGAAGAATATCAACGGTGGCTGCACCGCCAACGCCACCACCACTACGACCACGACTTGCGCTTCCCCTTCCGGTTCTCCTGCTGATATCGTTCATGCGCTTGCTGAACCGACCGCCACTGATGCAACTCCATATCCAAGATCTAACGGTCAAGATCCGTGGTCTGCTGTCATCCCGGCTCCGCAACAATTCATGATCGCCTCAGAGCCATTGGCGGATGTGCCAGGCGCGAATGAGATCGACGGTTGTGATCGCTCTCCTGTCGTGGCTGGAGTTTCCAGAAAGAGGAATCACCATCGGTTTGTCTGTTCCGATCGGAATGAGCTGTCTGATGACACTTCTTCCTCACCTCGTGCGCGCAGTGGGAGTGGGAGGGATGTGCAAAACCGGTCTGCGGAGGAATCGGAACCTACTGCTGAAACGGGAGGAGCAGCTGCAGCAACAGAAGCAGCAGGAGAAGCAGACTCAACAGGCACAGCAGAAACAGCACCAGCAGCAGAAACAATAGGAGCAGCAGAATTAGCAACAGCAGCAGAAATAGCAGGAGAAGCTGATACAGTAGGAGCAGCAGCAACAGCCGGAGCAGCAGAAACAGCAGGAGCAGCAGAAATAGCAGCAGGAGCAGAAGCAATAGTTGAAGCAGAAACAGCAGCATCAGAAGCAGCAGAAACATCAGGAGCAGCGGAAACATCAGGAGCAGCGGAAACATCAGGAGCAGCGGAAACATCAGAAACAGCAGGAGCAGCAGAACTTTCACAAACTGTTGAAGCGGTAGGAGCTGCTGATTTCTTGGTCGCAGGGATTAATGAATCCGGGGAATCGCATGCTGCTGCAACGGACGGTCCGGCAGGTGCAGAGGTGAACAGAGCTTGGATACTGGGTCGGCAAAATCTGGGAGGCGAAGGTTCGGATCGGTCTATCCAAGGCGGAGCATCGGATGAAATAAATCGAGAGGATTCGTTCAAACATGATCCTTGGGCCAGCTCCGATGGACGGTTGACGAGAGGAGAGGAAGGCGGGTGTGCTGGTCCCAGTGACGAGCGGGAGTCGGGTGAAGTGGATGGCGAGGTGGGAGAGGCGGGAGAGGCGGGAGAAGGGGGAGAAGGGGGAGAAGAGGGAGAAGGGGGAGAAGGGGGAGAAGGGGGAGAGGAAAGGGCTGAAAGGGATGAAGTGGAGGAAGGAGAGGAAAGTGGGGAAGGGGGGGAAGGAGAGGAAGGGGAGGAAACGGAGGAAGGTGAGGAAGGGGAGGCGGGTGAGGAAGGGGGGGAAGGGGAGGAAATGGAGGAAGGGGAGGCGGGTGAGGAAGTGGAGGAAGGGGAGGAAGGGGAGGAAGGAGAGGTAGGGGAGGAAGGCGGGGAAGGAGGGATAGGGGAGGAAAGGGAGGCAGGAACGTCAGGAGCGTCAGGAGAGGGAGGCGAGGAAGTCGTGCGGGCAGACGAAGTGGTGAGCGTGGGAGTTGTGATGGAGGAAACAGATGCACAGATGGCGGAGCCGAGTGACGGAGAGGAAGGTGCAGCATCTGCAGGCGAAGAAATGGCAGGCAGTGGAGTTAGGGAAGTTGGTTCGGGAGAAGTGGATCGGGGAGCACAGGGACAAGCGCGGGAGACGGAGGAGCGACGTGCAAGTGGAGAGCAAGAGGGGAGCGAGGAGCAGCGGGGAAGTGCAGGGCAACGGGAGGATGTGGAGCAGAGGGCTGATGGCAACGGGAGAGTGCGCGAGACGATTGATCTGAGTGGGGAGGACGATGACGATTTGCTCGTTCTCTCTCCTGATGCTGTACGCCCGCCCGTCCTTTCCTCCTCGTCCATTGCCTTCACTCTTCTCCAGTCGCCCTTCTCTCTTCTCCCGTTGCCCTACTCCAGTCCTGCTCCCGTGTCCGCTGTTTCACCCCCAACGCTCCAACAAACCCTTTGCGAATTGATCGTGCTTGACTAATCCGTGCAAGCAGGTGCAGGGATGCGAAAGGCGAAGGATCACGGGTAATGTTGGCAGGTGCAGTACTGTTGGCAGTTGGCAGGGGCAGGACTGTTGACCGGCCGGAACCACTATAATTTCGGTTGGTATGCGTTGGTACTTCATGCCTGCGCTTCCACGGACCCCCTATTTCTTTCCAAATCATGTTTGTCTCATTCATGCAAGCAGGTGCGACGCGACGGCAGGCGCAGGAGCACGAGGGGAACACCGGCGGGCGCAGGACAGAGTGGTGGTGGTGGTGGTGGTATCGGTGTGCGCCAGTTCTTCATGCCTGCGCACTCCTCCTCGCGTGCAACTGCTTCCGGCACTCATTCGCAGGCTCGGCGAGTCACGCGGCAGGCAGCTGGTATGCTGTGAGGGCGGAGTGTGAGGGTTGTGCGTGAGGGTTGTGTGTGTGAGGGTTTTCTGGTAGGGTTGAGGGTGGGATATGAGTGCGAGGCCGGAGCGTGAGGGTTGAGTGTGAGGCTTGACTTGAGTGAGTTTCTGAATAGATAAGGTGAAGGATGAGGTGCAGGCATTCTTCCCCTACATAGGGCAGACAGTTGTCACTAACTGCTGCCACTTCTGCCACCTCTGGCGCTCTCATTGCGGCCATATCATCATTTTTGCTGCGAGGAGCCTTTTTGTCCCCTCATCTCACCGCTTCACTTCCTCTATTCCACCTCCCTCACATCTCGTTTCTCCGTCCATGCCATTCTTCCCATCATCTTTCTGCCTGTCTCCTTCTGTTTCCTCTTCTTCTTCACCTGAACATGCATTCCTTCTTGTGGGTACGCACCTGTGCTGTTGCCTTGCCCACACCCCAAGCTATTGCAGCAGCCAGTCATGCCACTCGCCACCTCCGCTCCACTGCTTCTGCTGCTGCTGCGTCAGCTCCCTCTGCTCCTGCTGATGCTGCCGCGGCTGCCGCTGCCCCTGCCGCCACCGCTGCTGCCGCACATTTTTTCGGAAGTCACACAAGGAGCAGGGAGATTCCACAGCAGCAGGAGGTTGCTCGAGCTGGGACTAGCATCGCAGATGCAGGTTCAGGGGAAGCAGTTGCGGGTGCTGCTGCATCTGCTGCTACTGCTGCTGCGACTGGTGTGGAAGGGAGGGAAGGGGTTGCGATCACTGTACTGGTTGTGGATGACGATGATGACTGTCAAATCGTCTCGCCACCGGTCAGGCACACAGGCCATGAGGCAAGGGCTAGCCATGAGGCACGGGCTCAGCATGAGCGGAGAGTCGCCAGCCGCACCCGCGAGACAAGGGCACCCGTGCGGGTGAGTGGTGAAGCACGGGCTGCTACCTGGGGTGAGAACGAGCCGCAGCATAATGATCCGATGCACAGGCAGGTGGTTGACCTGGAAGAAGAGGCAGGGGCAGAGGGAGGGGGAGGGGTAGTATCAGAACAAGTGGCAAATTCACCTGAAGTGGTGCTGGTGCGTGGTGGTGGTGCGTCCAGAGGTTTACAGGGTGCTGTTGCCAGGCACAGAAGCCGCGGGGCAGACGGTGCAGCAGGGAGGCAGCGGCATTGGAGCAGCACGAGCACGGGTGGTGCTGCTGCCATGGGCTCAGCTGCTGTGAGATCGGCTGCTGTGAGTACGGCCACACATCGCGGGATGTTGAGGGTTCCGGTTTCTGTGCAGGGGGGTGCGTTACGAGGAGGGGGTGGGGTGGGGGGAAGTGGAAGGAGAAGGGTGGAGGAACCAGAGCCTGATGACAGAGACGTGCAAGCATCGGTTGCAGGAGCAGCAGGAGGTGGGAGGGGTAGTGGGGGCATGGAAGGGGGAGGGAGAGCAGGGGGAGGGATGCATCTGGTGTGCTCCGTGTGCCTGGATGATATGAGTGAGGAGACTGTGACGCCATGTGGACATGTGTTCTGCCGAGGCTGCATCACCATGGCTATCCGAGAGACCAGGCAGTGCCCCATGTGCCGCAAGACTCTGCACCTGCGCCAAATCCGCCCCATTTTTCTGCGCAGCGCCATGAGATGACGGGGAGCAGTAATGCTTGGAGAGGGGTGTTGCACCGTGCATGCACGGAGACGTTTCACGAAGGGAATATACTGTACACCACATGCAGCGTTGGAAGACGTTAGGAGACGCCAATATAATCAGTGAAGATGTCAATTCATTTTAAAACCCGCGTCTCATATTTCCTAGTGTATTACGCTTGGTTGGGCTAAAGCGCCTGTGATTGGATAACGATCGGCGAGATTTGTGACGAGCAGTTTGGAAAGCACGGACGAACCCCCAGTTCGTCCACGCAAAAGCCAACCGAGCCCCTCAGGCATGGAAAGCTTCCACGCCTAGAAAACAGCTCTGGCAGGGTCGCAATTCCATGCGACCAACTGAAACGACAGCATACAACTCGCCCAGCATCACACGAAAAGGCAGAGCAAAACTCTCATCCGAGAATCTTAGTATGGTTGCTCGTCATGTCCCTCCGCGAGCAAGATGGAGCTCCTGCACAAAATCCACTAATATAGCACCCTATTAGATCGCACTCCAGACCTCGATACAGGTGACGAGCGAATACATTTACAAGCGGATAACGCTCTAATTGGCGAGGGCAGAATCGTCCAATGTCGTGCACCCGTCGCAACGCGACCGCATTTTACGATGTAGCCAGTACGTAGCATCCCGAACTGCGTGCTTACCTTTTCTGTGGTCAGCTGCGGAGCCCTGACCCGGGATGGCGCAAATCAGAATGCGCACGGGCCCGTGTCAAGTGCGAGACGCATGTGTGCGGGGTCATTTTCCCCGTGCATGCGCAAGTGCGTGCGTGCGTGCGCGCGCGTCCGTGTGCGCATGCGTGCGTGCGTGCGTGCGCGTGCGGCGCGTGCGTGCGTGCTGGTAGTGCGTGCGTGCGCGTGCATGCGTGCGTGCGTGCGTGCGTGCGTGCGTGCGCGTGCGCGTGCCTGCGTGCGTGCGCGTGTGCACCGGTTTTGTATTCATGTGCGTGAGTGCATGTGCATAGGAATTCTTGGCCTCATTTTGGCACACGTCCCTCAGCCTTCCCATCGCGGTGCCCTCACCTCCCTTTCCACAAACTGCGACGAGTGCCTCGAGACACGACACCCATCCTCTCTTAGGGTTTGACACCTGTTTTTCCCCTCCCATTCCCTCTATCCCCTCCCCTTCCTTCTCTCCCCTTCCCCCTCTCCCCTTCCCTCCCTCCCTCCCCCCTCCCTCTCTCCCCTTCCCTCTCTCCTCCTTCCGCCCGCAGCTGTTCTCATGTCAGCCCATCCACGCCATGAGCAGCTCGCTCCTCTCCCACCCCTACACCAACCCATTCCCCTCCCCAGCTGCCGCACACGCTGACGTCAACTCGGGTGCTCGTACTCCTCCCACTTCTCCCACACCTCCTCTCCTCGGACTCCCCACCCACCAGCTCTCCCACCCTCCAGCACCCGCCACCCCTCTTTCCCCTCTCCCTGTGAACTCACCTTCACCTCCTCCCACACCAACATTCCACATGTCGGCAGTAAGGGGACCTTGCCAGCCAGCCCTCGCCACGCGCTGACCCTGCTAGCTGTCCTGCCCGAAGCTGAGGTGGGAGTAAGCAGGGGAAGGTGAGTAGGGTGTGGGTGTGGGCTATGGTGAGAGAGGGGAGGGGGAGTGGGAGGGGGAGGTGGGGAGGTTGAGTGCTGTGGTGGCGGCCATGTGTGTGGAGAGCCCTTTCCTTCTCCGCCAACCCGTTCCTTCTCGCGGGGGTTCTCCCCATCTCCTCATCCCACCTCCCCATCTCCTCATCCCACCTCCCCATCTCCTCATCCCACCTCCCCGTATCCTCATCCCACCTCCCCATCTCCTCATTCCACCTCCCCATCTCCTCATCCCACCTCCCCGTCTCTACATCCCACCTCCCCGTATCATCATCCCACCTCCTCAACTCCTCGTCCCACCTCCCCTTCTCCTCATCCCACCTCCCCGTATCCTCATCCCACCTCCCCATCTCCTCATCCCACCTCCCCATCTCCTCATCCCACCTCCCCATCTCCTCAACCCACCTCCCCATCTTCTCATCCCACCTCCCCTTCTCCTCATCCCCTCCTCCCTTCTCGAGGTCCCGGGTTCCCATGATAGCTGCCTCCCTCCTCATCTCGCCCACCTCATTTCCTTTCTTCCTCGGTGTGCATTATAACTATCGGTCATACCTCCTCATCTCATCTCCCCTTCATGCCTCCTACCACCTTTCCCTGCCATCCCATCCCTCCTTCATGCCTCCCATCACCTTTCTATGCCTTCCCATCTCCCCTTCATGACTCCAATCACCAACCCACCCATCCGTCCCCTTTTAACATTCTCTCCCCTCGTTTCCACCCCCATCCGTCCCCTTTTAACCTCTTTTCACCTCGTTTCCACCCCCATCCGTCCCCTTTTAGCCTCTTCTCCCCTCGTTTCCACCCCATCCGTCCCCTTTTTACCTCTTCGCCCCTCGTTTCCACCCCCATCCGTCCCCTGTTAACCTCTTTTCCCCTCGTTTCCACTCCCCTTCCCCGTCGCCAGCACTCCCCTTCCCCATCGCTAACACTCCTCCTATCCCACCCCTCCACCAACCCATTCCCCTCCCCTGCTGCCGCGCACGCTGACGTCAGCTCGGATGCTCAAACTTCTCCCACTTCTCCCACACCTCCTATCCTCGGACTCCCATCCTCCAGCTCCCTCACCCTGCTAGCCTTCCTGCTCGCAGCTGAGGTGTATATTAGCAGGGGAAGGGGAGGAGGGTGTGGGTGTGGGCTATGGCGACTGCCAGAATCAGAGAGAGGGGTGGGGGTGTCCCTTACTATTCTGTCGTTCCCTCTTTTGAGTTCCAGTTTCCTCCTGTGTGGCTACGTCTTCTATGTACAAGGCTAAGAACGATCTGATTGTGCACTTAAATGTTCGTGACAACAGAGCGCACACAAGTTTCCTGGCGTGGCCAGCCATTCCTGAACGGGTTCACTAAGTGCCTGGAATGAGCACCACCTTCTTTGTCTTAGACTTAGAGGCATGAAGTTGTGTGATTTATTAGGTCAAGGGGGGGTACAAGAAGAATGTCGAGAGAAATGTTGTACCCCCTAGTGCTAACCCCCATATAGCCTAGACAACCTAAACATAACATATAAATATAACTTGACACACCCCCATAGGCGAAATGGGGGATAGCCAGAGCAAGCAAAGGTCACAAGACCAGTCAAGAGAAGAAACAAAACACAGCTCAGGATGGATCACAAAGTCACCACACACACTGAGCACAAGCAAGAGGCCACAAGGCCAGTTCACATGCAGAGATGTATATGCAGCAATAGCACAGTGATCACTACCTAGCAAGATCAAGCATGCAGCTATATATATATAGATCACAGTACAAGCAGAATCTACAGCAAGTGTGGAAACGTAGGCACAAGGCCCAAAAAAGTACAAAAGCGCTAATGATCACCAGACGGAAGCGCCTTGGTGAATACATCAGCAGTGTTGGCCCGAGTGGCCACGTGAGCAAGACGAAGCTGACCCCGCTGCTGCAACTCTCGAGCTAGGAAGTAACGCAGAGCGATGTGCTTCGTTCTGTGCTCCAGCCTGTGCTCCTCACACAAGGCAATGGCGGCCTTGTTGTCGACGTACAGCACTGGAGGAGAACGAGACCGCTCTCCCAGGTCGGTCAGCAGGTAGGTGAGCCAGCGTAACTCCTGTGCAGCCATGGCTGTGGCGTAGATCTCAGCCTCACAACTGGAGCTGAGAACTGAAGACGAGCGTGTAGAACGCCAAGAAACAGAGCCAGAACCAAGGCTGAAGGTGTAACCCTGTGACGACCGCTGTGTAGCCTGGTCGTCAACCCAAGAAGCGTCTGAGTGCCCAGTGAGGACAACTGCGCTCCGCCCTCCAAGCACGAGCCCCATGCCCGATGTACTGCACAAGTAGCGTAGTACCCTCTTAGCAGCATCCATGTGCACCTTTCGGTGCCGACCAGGAGCCACATAGCGAGCCAGAAGGCAAAGAGGGTACGCAAGGTCAGGACGAGTGCAGGTCATCAGGTACATGAGGCAGCCCACTAGCTCTGGGTAAGGACCACTCGGCTCTACGGACTCGTCCGAAGGTGGAGCTCAGAGCGAGTGACCTGTAGCCAGAGGAGTGTGCTGTGCCGAGGACCAGGTGAAGCCGAAGCGCTGAAGGACCTGCTGCACCATGTGTGACTGAGTCAGTGTGATGGTGCGGCGTGCTCTGTCCCGGGTGATCCGCAAGCCAAGATAACTTGTCAGCTCATCCAGGTCTGTGCATGTGTGTCTCTTCTGCAGCTCCGACTTCACCAGGGCGAGAGCCTCAGTGTCAGCAGTGGCAAAGACCAAGTCGTCGACGTACACGAGGATGTAGAACGGCGGCAGCGAAGTGTCAGTGCGCAGAAACAGCGACAGGTCAGCAGTCGACGGAGCAAACCCAAGAGCCGCAAGTGTCGTCCTCAGTGTGTCGTGCCACTCACGTGGCGCCTGGCGGAGACCGTAGACCGGCCGCCTGAGGCTCCACTGGGTACCAGGAGGGAACGACCCAGTGAAGCCAGGTGGGCGGCGCAGCCAGATCTCCTCGTGCAGACTGCCCTGTAAGAAGGCTGTGCTGAAGTCAAGAGAGTGAAGCTCGTAGTCACGCTGAGCGGCAACGTGCAGCAGCACCCGAAGAGTGGTCATCTTCGGGGTGGGGGAGAAGGTCTGGAAGAAGTCTACTCCCTCTCGCTGACTGAAGCCTCGTGCAACGTAACGCGCCTTGAAGGCAGGCGGAGAACCTGGCGGCCGCTTCACCCTGAAAATCCACATGCCACTGACGATCTTCGCCCCAGGTGGGGGAACCTCGTCGACGTAGGTGCCTGTGGACTTCCAGGATGCCATCTCTGCGTCCATGGCTGTCTGCCACTGAGAGGAGTACTCACCCGCGATTGCCTCAGCGTAAGAGCGCGGGGTCGGGATGTCTGGAGCATCCGGGTCTCCCTCAGGGGCAAGCAGCATGGACACGAGATGAGGCGCAGCGGCTGCAAGACACTCAAGGTCCTCCTGCCTGTCCTCAAGGACGTCCGTGCCAAGAGCACACTCACCCCCGACGGACGGAGGACAGACAGACTCAGACTCAGCAACAAGACTAGCGGCGTAGTCTAGACGACAGGCAGCAGCAAAGTCAACAAGCTCAGCAACTAAGGCAGACGTAGCAGCAGACTCAAACGACGGGTCAGTGACAACAGTGGCTAGCAGACGCGTGACAGTAGGGTGCTCAGCACGAAACCGGTCAGACTCGGGGTCCGCAACGACAGGCAGAGAAGACGCAGGAGGGGACGGCAGAGGAACACGCTGTGGAGGAGAGGAAGGACGACGGACTACGAGGTGGGTGTCGGGGACAGCCGGCAGACACGGACGAGGAACACGAGGACCGGAACGACCAGAACAGACAGGCGAGACAGGACGCGACACAGGCTCACGACGCTCAGTAAGACCCCCTAGCTGCTCAGTGTAAGGAGAAGGAGCAGGCAGCGGTGAACCAGGCTGCAACGGAAGACCAGTAGACGAAGGGAGACTAAGAACCTGGCGAAGCACAGAGTCAGGCGGTGGCTGAGACGACGGAGACGGTGGAGCAAAGAACAGGCGCGGCTGTGCAGTGACACCAGCACCAGCAGCTCTAGTACCCCCGGCAGCTCCAGTACCTCCAGCAGCTCCAGAACCTCCAGCGCCAGCACCCTCAGTAGCTCCAGAACCTCCAGCTCCAGCGCCACCAGCGCCAGTACCTCTAGCAGCTCCAGAACCCTCAGCGCCAGCTCCTCCAGGACCAGCTCCACCAACAGCAGCACCCCCAGAACCGCCACCTCCAGTCCCAGGGTCTCCAGCCTCAGTGCCTCCAGCAGCAGCACCCTCAGACTCAGCACCTCCAGTCCCAGCAGCTCCAGTACCTCCAGTACGAGCACCTCCGGGACCAGCACCACTCCCAGCTCCAGTGACGACAGCAGAAGTACCTCCAGCGGCAGAGCCCCGAGCTCCAGAAGCGCGACCCTGACGGCGACCGTACCAGTCGTGCAGCTGCTGCGAGGTGAGAGGCACACGCGGACGAAGGCGGCTACTCCAAGGAAGCCGCGCAACAGCAGACTCAGAACCCTCAGCGCCAGAACCCGCAGCAGCTCCAGAACCTCCAGCGCCAGCACCCTCAGCAGCTCCAGAACCTCCAGCTCCAGCGCCACCAGCGCCAGTACCTCCAGCAGCTCCAGAACCTCCAGCGCCAGCACCCTCAGCAGCTCCAGAACCTCCAGCTCCAGCGCCACCAGCGCCAGCACCTCCAGCAGCAGGGCCCCTAGCTCCAGCAGCGCGACCCTGACGGCCAGCGTACCACTCAAACAGCTGCTGTGGGGAGAGAGGGAGTCGACAACGAGAGTGCACCGGCGAGGCACCAGCGGAGCGACTACGGAGACGGCCGCTCCCGGGAGACTGCTCACCAGACGCCTCAGCGCCCCCAGGCTCAGCACCCCCAGACTCCTCACACCCAGGCTCAGCACCTCCAGTCTCCGCACCCCCAGGCTCCGCACCCCCAGGCTCAGCACCCCCAGGTTCAGCACCCCCAGGCTCAGCACCCCCAGGCTCCGCACCCCCAGGCTCAGCACCCCCAGCAGCAGCACCCCCCTCAGCAGGACCTGAGTCACCAGTGACCTCAACCTGAGGAGGAGGGTCTACCTGAGACACACCTGAAGGAGCAGGACCGGGAGCGGGGAGGGGGTCTACCTGGGGAGCACCTGGAGCGAGGAAGAGCGGCGGGGGGGGGGAGAGGGGCAGTGCGGTAGGGGAAGAGACGGTAAAAGGGAACCGACTCGTCGAACGTGACGTCCTGAGAGGGGAAGACACGGCGCGAGGTGGGGTGGTAAAACTGCCAACCAGGCGCGTCAGGGACAAAGCCAAGGAAGACACAGGGAACAGCGCGGGCGGAGAGCTTGTCCGCAGTGGTATCGCGGACAAAGGCACGAGCACCCCAGACCCGGAAACGCGACGCATCGCCAACCTTCCCCGTCCACAGCAGTGTGGGCGAGGTCTCCGGCAAGGAGACACGGGGCCAGAGGTTGAGCTGATGCGCGGCGTACCGGACCGCAAACGGCCACAGAAAATGGGGGGCAGCCGCATGGATCATGGAGGTACGAGCGACCTCCATGACTAAGCCAATGCGGCGCTCAGCAACCCCATTCTGCTGCGGAGAGGCCGGAAGCGTGAACGTCTGGCGGATGCCGTGCTCCGCACAGAAGGCTGAGGTCTGAGGAGAACTCACCACCTCT